ACAGGCTAGGCCATTGTAAGGATAAAAAAGTCTCAACAATTTGGGAATCTCCTATAACTGTAAATGTGATTATGTTCATATTAATTTACTATTTGGTGCGTTGTGAGCCGCTTAAAGAGTTTAAATATATGTCTATATATATTTATATAAAGTGTGATAAGCGTGTATTTTCATACCTGTGTTCGTCTTTGCCTTGACCAGGTTGTTGTAAGTTCGTCTTCGCTGACACTTTCATCTTGTGTTTCCACTTTTCTTGTAGCCACCTCTGGATTCTTTGGGGAAATGTAAATCAGACAAATACAGTATAGTTACTTTTCTGATTGTTTGCTTTTTAGTTTGCTTTATTTATAAAATAAAAGGGTGCATCAAGGCCGTGGCAAACGAGGAAACATCGTTGCGGACGCAACTGTTTCGGCGAGCAAACGGGAAACATTTGTTGCGGACGCAAAATGTTTCTGAAAGAATTCAGAAACATTTTTTGCGTCTAATTTGCGTCCGCTACAAATGTTGCGTGCGCGGGTAAACGGGGAAATGAGCGTTATTTGTTTCACTGTCCGTGGTTGAGCCTGGGGTGGAGTAGTGCGAAAAGAGTTCGCAGTGAGAGTTTATGTTTATTTGACTGTTCAATTAGACCGGGCAGGGAACGTCAAGGTTGAAAGAATTTGGTTCAGATTGTTATAATTAAATATATAGGGAATTTTTCGCTCACCTAGAATACTCTTTTTTAAGACAAGACGTGGCTAACTTATATTAGCCACGTCTTGTTTACTGTAGAAAACAACATACAGTAACAGTACCTGTAACTTTGAGCCTGTAGGAGTCTTTGTATGTTGAATTCCCAGACATTTCATGCAGACACCTAAAATAGTTATTAAAAATAGTTTAGTACTGATTTTTAAAGCAAAACAAAATTAAAAGCAAAAACAACCACGACAATCAAAACGAACCTCGGTCGGTCTCACACAAGATATTATAATCGCGGTGGATTTCCTGGGACATACGTTTTTGTCACCCCTCTTGTTGGTTTCTGCTTGCTGTCGTGCATGGGATGTTTGCAAGCTTTGCTCGGCCGCCACCCAAGACCGAACTCATCTCTATGAAGGGGACAAATGGTAAAAAAATCCCCCTCTTCATCAAACAAACCAACTCTGAAAAGGCAAAGTTTCCACTCCACTTCAACGCCCTCGGATGTGGTTTTATAACAGCCATTTAGATGACCAGAAACGTCTTTTGTGCAGGTCTTTAACGCACAAGAGCTGTCTGGGCTTTGTAACGACCAGATATACCGCACTCTTTCCTGGAATAGCCTCTAAACGAGCATTTAAACGAAGTCATCGCAATCGCAGTGTAATCTGATTCGGACTGAAATTTGATACCTGAAAAATACACTTGTTCACAAGTCGTGCTGTCACGCAATCACCCGTTGCAGGTGTTCTTCGTACTTCGTTGTATAACAACAACACCAAAAAGCATTTGCCGCTAGTTTCCATCGGATGGAAAAACAATAATGTAGTTAGAACTACATGATTTCGTTGCGGTGGAAGAATATGTTTTCATATTTGAACAAAACACGCGACTGGATTCTAAAAGTTTTCACGAACGGCCGTGAAGATACGCTAAATACTTTGGTGTGACGCCGCCAACTTGTTCGGATAACATCTGTTCAGCGCAAATTGTACTATGGCGTGGGAAATACAAGAAAGTTAGCTTACACATCAAACGAGCTACGATAACCAACCATCAAGGCAATGAGTTTTAAATGGGATGATGCTCGCTTGTAGGAAAATATGTTAACTCGCTGCGGGTACGACCAACAAGTCAGTATACATGACCTTTGTTTTCGTTCAAATTTTCTACTAACTACTTGCTAACAGCTTAACTACTAACAAGTTAAACAAATTGTTGTTGCAAATGTTTCATAATGATGTTTCGCTTCTTTTGTAAAGCAACATTATATTTTACTTATTTTAACTCCAATATATCACGATTTCCATGTTGAGCTCATTTGCATATCGATACAGAATAAACAACATTTATTGAATGCAAATACTGTTATCCCGCGTAAACTTTTCACAGTTTTTATTTCTGACACAGAAACACCATTTCCTTGGCAATCTATATATAGGTTTAAATTTGATTGAAAACACGCCGCATCTCTTTAAACAACGACTTTAGAGACCCCACTTTTTAGATACAAATTAAATAGGTTAATTAAAATTTAGGTTACAGCCAAACAAATCAATGAAAATACGTTTACTTAACATTGTTCTATTGTTAAGGGTTACAACTGTCGTTTGTAGAAATTTCATTTCGTTTCTTCCTATTTTAGCTTGTATCAAGTGATCAAACATGGTGTATATTTTAACCTCAAATTTGAACACTTTTCGCTGTCTGACAGTTTGATTGACATTTCTCCGAAACAATAGACAATTGAACCAAACTATTGCACATGGGTGATGTACTAGTGAAGGTACACAAGTGTGCCGAAATTTGAGGGAAATCGGTGAGGTACACTGTAGACTCGCCTGCATGGTCCTCAGGTGGACTCTCTCTTAACAACTCTTTATTTGCTTGCTTTCAACCGTCCGGCCAATTCCCTTATTTAACTAGACCAATACATCCCTTTGTAGACTATGGTACAGTAAAGGTAAAGATAGACTCTCCCCTCATTCAAGAGCCTGTCTTGGTAATCCTGAACTTGTGCGAAAACCTGAGGTAAACTATTTCGTACCACACAATTCTGGACCAATTCCTGCTTTTTACCATAAGATACTGAAAACATTGTCAGTTTTAGTGTTTTTTAAGCGATATATCAAACACGAGATATAGTGTTTCATTCGATTTACAAGCTCGGAAAGAGTTGAACATACGACGTGTAGCGGACTGAGTATTTGTGACGATTTTTTTTAAATTGAAACAAAACCTAAGGAGTAAATGGGGAAATAAAATCGTCAATCTATGCTAATTAAAGGGGCTGTGTCACGCTATTTTCAGCAATTCTGTTACACGCAAACTAAACTTAAAATATATTGAAAGCACAAAATAATGGTTTCAAACCATAGAAAAACATAAAACAAATACTAGGAAGCCGCAATGAAGTCAAAATTGGACAAGATTGAAACAGATTGGGAAAACGTTATTTTATTTTATTTATTTTATTTTATTTACTTAATTCGTCAATGGCGGGTAAATAGACAATAGGACATTGCGACCCTTGCTAGGCCTATCTACCCAGCCCAGCCCCAGTAAGAAAAAAGAAACCCAAACCCAACCCACCGCTAAGTTATATAGTATATAAAAAAACTAATTATAATGCTAACAAAAGCACGCCTGCGTGGGATTAATGCGGTGGCATTTAGGGCAGACAATTTTGTAAGATCGTATGTTGTCTGGGTCTAAAACTTTAAATAAACGAGAAAGCTGATTTTTAAAGCTAAATAGAGAATCAGCGCTTTTTATGGCGTCAGGTACAGTGTTCCATAAGTTAACTATCCTGTTGAAATAAGAATCACGGGAACAGGAAGTTCTGGCAATAGAGGTCTTCAGAAGATTGCCAGTAACACTCCGGCGAGAACGCCCCTGACTAAAAGTAACAAACTGCGAAATTAACTTGAAAAACGACGGCCAGTCTTTTTTCAAGTTAAGTACATTTGTGTGAAACAAGTGGTAAATAATGCTTAGAAATCATCTGTATTTGCTATGTAAGTGTGATTCCATCTTTGAATTAATATTTCATTGACATGTTTGAGTTTATAGCTCGTAAAAAAGAATACAGGGAAGAATAGCAAAAAGTGGCGTGACACAGCCCCTTTAAGACCAAGTTTCCTAACCTCCTCCTCTTTCCTACAGGGCGGGTTGAGAAGGCAGCGTGACGGCCTTCCATTGTTATAACCTGATGAATTATTAATGAGTTTGAGAAGTTTGTCATACTTACCTCATCATCAAATTTTCGGGTCAAATCAAACACGACTCCTATGGTGGCTCCAGCCTGATCCTTGGTTGGCAGACTGTTCATGATGTGCTCCATGTTCGCAAGACCTTTTGTTTTAGGAGGTGGTTTTCGCATGAGGCTGGGAGAATGTGGCTGGAAACCGTATGCATCCATCTGAGAGAAGTTGACTGCTGCGTGTTGGCACTGTGAACACGTGAAGATGACCATGGTAAGCAGGTAGGTTAGCTGCTCCAAACTTGTCACCGAGGAAGGGAAGCCATGATCATTCTCACCCTCTCTTGTTGGATAGCCATTGTCGTGCAGATCACGAATCCAAGCTTGGAGTTCTGTGTCCTGTTCACATAAAAATCAAGAAGTGATCTCAAAATCATTTCGATGACTTTTAGTATTATTAAAATAATTATCACTTTGAAACAAAGGAAATGATAAACTTAGGTTTTATTTCGATTGGGAACATATTATATCAAACACTAGAATGTGTGTTTCATCCGATTTCCAAACACCTGCGCGTCGTATTTCCAACTCTCTTCTCGGTGTTCGGATGAAAACGCTCACTCGTGTTTGACAGTTTAATAAATGTGGGCCATTTAGTTCGGATCAGGTCAGATAAAGTAATAATTATTACGTAAATCCTAATTATGACGTTGGAATTCTAGAAATTGTTCTCGTGAAAGTTCAGAAAATTAAAACTAAGACTTCCACAGCTCTTCCAGAAGAACCCAGAAAAACCATTGAAATCATCATTTATTTATAACAGGTTATAACTTTACCTTTTTTATTTCATTACCGGAATAATAATAAACTTTAAGAATGTCGGTGATGTATTCCTTAATGATCTTCCACAATCTTAAAGCATCATCGCGATAATGGAATCCTGGAAGTTTTTCTGCATCATGGACTCCTCTTTCTTCCAACACTCGCGGCAAGTCATACGATGACCAAGTTAAACTCTTGTAATACTTCTGCATGAGATGCACGTGACCTATTGCTGAAATAAGGAGAAAGATGTTAGTCAGTGACACAAGCTTCTTGGAGAAAAAACTCCGAGTTCTCCCAACAGGAGTCGAACCTATGGCCTCCCGGCCCGCACAAAGGTCGGACGCTCTACCACTGAGCTACAGAAGACTCGTGGAAGCTTAGGCCATATAATGTTTGCGTTGGTGAATATGGAGAGTAGATAATTCATTCCGAACTAAAAAAACTGGAGAGAAAATTTTTGTGTATGCATTTTAAAATCAAGGCCAAGTTTGCTAAAATTACTTTCCTCTCTTGGCCAAATATTTTGGGACTTAGAAACTATTTTTCAACAAACATTAGATTTCCTCTGATATCTCAAATAATATTTACGCAGGGCGAGTAAAGTCGCCTTTGGCTGCGTATGGGTAGGGCGACCATGGTTGCCTGTGGCCGTGAAAGGGTTAAGCCACTTTTTCGGTTAGCGTGATCAATAGACCTTTCTCCAAAATGGCCGCCACAAATTCATATTAAGCTGAGCGGAAAATCAATACCATCACCTGAAAGAAAACCTCTTGTTTGGTAATCGTACGACGTTTCGCTAGGTTAAGTTATACCCGAGTCGAGAAAACGGAAGTGAAAATTTCGAGACGTTTGTATGACTGGGGGTATACAAACTTCTCTAAATTTTCCAGTTTTCAACTTCCGTTTTCTCGACTCAGGTAGAACCTAACCTAACGAAACTTCGTACGATTACCAAACAAGAGGTTCTCTTTCAGGTGATGGTATTGATTTTCCGATCAGCTTAATATGAATTTGCGGCGGCTATTTTGGAGAAAGGTCTATTCCGGTTTGATTTTCGAAAATAATTCTCACTCTTGTCCTATTTTATGTCCCCCGTCTCTTTAAGCCCCTCTCCAATAAGCCCCCCCCCCCCCCCCCCTCTCCTCTAGAAATTCAATTTTTTGATCAAGTCTCTCTCTCTAACAACACCTCTCTAAAACGTCACTTCTTTTAAATAAGCCCCCCCTCCCCTGTCCCAAGAAAATACTGTAGAGTCCAAGCTCTCGTAAGTGGACACCCTCGGGAAGCAGAAAAAGTGTCCGCAGCTGGAGCTGACCGCTTACGGGAATACATTCATCTTTTTTTAAATTTCATTTAAAATCAAAATTAATGGAGTAGTCAGTTTAACATAGATTAATTAGGAGTAATTTATTTTATCCGATTTTTATCATTGTAGTTTGTATCAGTTTCAAATTGTAATTTTTACTGTAATTTTATTGCCACTGAAAAGCCCGGTAAGGGGAGTGTCGATTAAAATATTGTATTGTATTGTATTGTATTGTAATGCGCAAACACAGAGTTTGTATGAGATAGAATTCAAGCGGTTTTTTGTCAAGGCGGCCGTAAGTAGAGCTGTCCGCTTATGAACAGGAAAACATTTATTTTTAGCCCATCCACCACATTTATTTGTTATTGCTACTTTTTTGTGGAGCTGTGTTCACCCCAGTAAGCAGAAATAACATTAAACGGACTAAATGTTCAGCTTCTTGACATAAGTCAGCCCCTCTAATACGCCCCGTTCGCTAATAAGCTCCTTCCCCGAAAAATGTCTTGAAATGAAATATACTCCGAGGGAAGTAATGCATGGTACTTTTAATTGGTGAGCTGTTTGTTTATACTAGCTTCAGCTCTTTCCCATATCCAGCTTTACGGACACCTGCTTATTACGGACACTTCTGTTTGTCCCTGTTTGTCTCTTATATCAGCCCGCATAATACGGACACTTTTTCATGTCCCTTTGGTGTCCGTATTAACCGGGTTCCACTGTACTAAAAAATCTCAACAAGTAAAACATATGACAATTAAATAAACTTAATCGCATTTTATCCTCCTATTTTGACAATGTAAACCATTCAAACTTTCTTTTTTTAATTTGTCCAATAAGCGATTTTCCTTCTTCAAATTCTTCAATAATATAAACATTCAAACCTCCTCCTCCGATACTAAGAGTGTAGTCAGCCACACCTCCAGCAGGTATTAGCCTTTCTCTTCCAAGTGCGTTGATGGCCAGAATTCCCCGGAGGTGAGGTGACAAAAGTTTCCACAGGGGGTGGAGTGAGGGTAGCTGTCTTCTGGTAGCAACTGCAATGGGTTCCATGAACAGATGCGTACGAAGAAGATGAGTGATCATCTGGAATAATCAAAGAAAATTTAAAGAAACCAAACAAATAAAATGCACACACCCAAATTATTCTAGCTGGTGGTATTGTTCGCTTGAGGTAAAGTTTTGTCGGCGGAACGGCCAAAATGAGCGGCAAAGCCTCGACAACGAGCGGCGCAAGCCGTAGCCTGCGTAGCTGGCGGTCGAAGTAATTTTTTAGCGGCGAAGCCGCGAGAGTCTGGGCGTTTTCCAACTCGCGCTTCATTTTACTCTAGAGCCTGCTACCGTCGAGAAGTCTCTTACTCCTTTAAAAAAATTTACCGAATTTCCCTTTGAATATTCAGGAAATTTAACAGAAATTAAACTGTCTTCAACAGTCGCCATTTTCATTCGCGGTCTCCTGGAAATGTTGTGGTAAAATTGGTTCATTCTCCGTTGGGAGAGACATAGCAGCTCAGCTAACATTTGATTGACGTGTTCACAGCTCTGAACCAATCCCGTCCACTAGTGGACGGACTATTCAAAATACCTAGGTATTGTTGCAGGCGGTCTTTCACCCCTCCCGCCCCAGACTCTCGCGGCTTTGCCGCTTACGAATTTTGCCGACAAGACCGCTAGCTACACAAGCTAAAATTATTCCTCTTTTTGTCTTTTTCTTGATGACGAAAAGTAGTGCAAATATCATGCACGTCTCCATCAGTGGAAAGTTGCACTACATGGCGACTAAAGCATATTTTCTTTCATTTTTTACCAAACAAAAATTGTTTGATGACGGTAAATAACAGTTACTGTAGGGAGTTGTCTATGTACCAATTTTAGATTTTTACATTTTACAAGTGTAAGATTTATTGAATATTTCAATTATCTTATTACAATTCTATCCCAATCAATCAGAACTCATCGCGATTTCTACTGAACACAGGGTACGGCCTCGTGCTTGGTTAATAAGACAATAATATTATTTTCCCCACAAGACATGTTTCTTACTTGATGCCACTGAGCGTCAGCATTGCGCAGCCACATTTTGGCGTAGATCCATTCTAATTCAGTGTCGTTTGGAGTCCAAATTGGGTTTTGATTGCTCGGTCTTTGTTGGAGCTGAATGGCTATTGGCACAATGTCCCCATTGCTCTTGACGTAAAACAATCCTAACGCTGGGCACGTGTAGCGTCGCTCAAGTTTGCTGTTCAGAGTACCGTAGTGTGGAATGTCGACAAGAATCTCGTAATCAACCAGATAAACACGGCCATTCTGGGGATCAGGGAATATAGAACGCGAATTCAGTCATAATAGTTATTGTGTTTGTAATTGTTCATGGATATGAAGGGCCAATAAATAACATATCGATTACTTATATTTTTCCACATTCTACACTTATAAAATTTAATTTAATTTGGCTTCGCCTAAGATATATATAACAAAATAAACAGAAAACGGAAAGGCAGCTGCATGCAGGGAAACCACAACAGCATGGCCAATTACAGAGGACCCAAGAACTTGAAAAATATATAGAGGTTATTCAGCGGAAAGTTGTGTAATACGGCAGGGTATTTTTACGAGTCAGTTTTTATTTTTTCGAGCCTTTAGGCGAGAAAAAATAAAAACTGACGAGTAAAAATGCCCAGCCGTATTACACAACTTTCCGCTGAATAAATTGTTTATTATACGACATAATATATTTCCTAAAATATAGTCTTTCATCAGTGTTTTCCGTAGCGCGCGGTCAGGGGGACTGAGACCCGTTGAATACGGTCTCATATTTGCTCTCCTCTTTGTGCGTATTCGCACTCTAAAACATCATGTCGTATAATAAATTTATATATAAACAAGGTACTGTTCCCGCTATGATTGGTCGAAGCCATCACTATAAAAATTTAAAACCATTCGAGGGCCAAACTGGCCCACACTGCCGGAGCTTATCCCATCTTTTTTTGTTTCCCAAGCGTGAAGCCGATCAGGAGTATTACTATTCACCCTAGGTGGGATGCTAGTCCAGCACCAGGTTACCCACCCCCACCCCCCCCCCCCCCCCCCCTCCCGTGGTCAGGTACCGTTCAGTGTGTTTAAATCTAAAATTACCACCGTAGGAGTTATTCTGGTACCTTTTAGGCGAAAAAAGCCTGGAACTAGTTTTGTCTTAGAATTATTTCCTCTAAATGAATTCGAGCCACACCCACAAAACAAGATTCTGGTACCTTTTAGGCCGACTCGTCCCCAGTCGTCTCCTTATGAGAAACTTGTTAACGCGGTCGAGTTTCCCCCAGTCCCCAAGACGCTCGCATATTAATAGGAGACTGAGAGACGGCTGGGGACGATTCAGAAAACTTTACGACGATCACCCCGTCACTTTAACAGGGGAGTCCCTCCCGGGTATAACCTAGTAAAGTTATACCATTGTTTAAATTACGTACCTTCATGGCCTGTTGAAGCGTTTCTCCTGCTTCCAATAATTTGCCGACCATTTCCTGTGTGACGGGGAATTTAGAAGGCAGCTCTGTGCATCGCTTGATCGTGTCAGGATTACAGCCGTTCAAAAACTGCGCTCCATAAAAGGAGTCTGCTTTCCAGTGCTCCGCCGCCAAAGGTACATCGCCAACGAAGTGCACGAATGCCTAAAAATAATCGCAATTAGTGCAGTGTTTTATTCTTTACCTGAGAAGATTGTAAGTCACTCTTTTGCCTTTGTGTTTTCGTTGCAATATATTATTACAGGAGGGTTCTACCGAGTTCATCTGTTATGATCCACAAAAAAAATTTCAGTCCCACTGATTGGTCAAATAGGTCACGTGGTACACCTCTACCGGACAATTATCACCCAATAATGAAAGTGCCCTAGTAGAGGCATAACCTGTTCATGTGCCCTGGAGCAATAAAAATCACTGAAAACGTAACCCTACCAATCAATGAATGGAAATTGAAAGTGTCATATTCAAGGACGTTTAAATCTGGCGCGGTGGACGTTTTTAAACATAAATATTTTGCTGGGAAATGACCGTAGAAAAATTAT